GGGAGGGAATGGGGGCTGAGAGGGAGCGGGTCCTGGGGAGCAGAAGTGGGGTCCGCACAGGAGGAGGCACTTGAGACAGAGACTCTGGTTCAGAGGAGAAGAGTTGGGGAGCGAGTGCAGGGACAGAAAGGGGGGCTCAGGGATGAGGGAGCAGAGGGAGCAGCCCTGAGTCAGCAGCTGTGGTAGCGGGACAGACGGGAACTGGCAGCAGAGGGGCCACGGGCGTGGGGAGGGGGAGGAGATGGAGCCATCAGAGACCAGGAGAAAGAACCCCTGAAGGGAAGTAGGTTTCAGGAGTTTCATGGTCCAGGTGTAGGACAGACAGAGAGAAAAGGGGAGAAAGAGCAGGGGAGAGGGGGACACAGGAAAGGACCACAGTGGAGAGAAAGGAAGCAGGAGACAGAGACAGATCCATAGACAGAAATACATGTAGTGGGAGGATGGGAACCCTCATCTGGGCAAGTGGTCAGCTGATGGGGTGTGGATCATTAAGTTGGAATCTATCGGCTTGTGGCTTGTTGAGGGATGTTTAATGAACAAAAGACGCAGAGGTAAGATGAGCACTCAGGCGATTGATTGACATTGATTTACAGACAGAGGGCTACCGCTTGCTCTGGCATTTAGCAACCTTTATACTCTCAACCATTGCTTTTATTGTGATTTGGTGCAGGGTTAGTGCGTCAGCAGTTAATCAACTAAATTTTGTTTTGTTCTATATTACAATAGCGCATTGAACACAACTTGCAGCTGTGCCCTGCCTTTCTGCTCTACACCTACAACTATTTAATCTTACACTTTCTTAGGAAGGTAAATGTTCCGGGACCTCAAGATTGTGTGCAGTCTTGACCCAGTGTGACTCGCTTGCAAGTCACACTGTGCTCCTGATGGAGCAGTCACCTCTTCTTGGCAGGACTTCAGATCCTTGATTACAAATGTCCAGCTACATGGCTTTGTGTGTGTGTATGTGTGTGTGTGTGTGTATTTAAAGATACATATTACTATTGATCTCCAGGAGGCAAAGAGAGGGAAAGATATGCACTTATTGATCAGCTGCCTCCTGCTGGCCCCTCACTGGGCATCAAACCTGCAACCTGGCCATAGGCCCTGACTAGGAATCTAACCATGACCTCCTGTCCAGTGGTCCCAGCTCAATCACTGAGTTATGTGGCCTAGGTGTGGCTTTATATATTTAAATTAACAGCTGAATTATCTTAGTTATACAGATTTGAATTCTATCTAATAAAAGAGAAACATGGTAATTGGAATACAACCCCTACCCTTCCCATTGGCTAATCAGTGAGATATGCAAATTAACTGCCAGCCAAGATGGCATCCGGCAGCCAGGCTGCTTGAAACTAACATGAGGCTTGCTTGCTTCAGTGACGGAGGACTCCAACGTTCCCCGCCTGCCTTGCCAGCCTCTGAACTTGCAGTTTGAAACATTGTTACAAAGATCGAAGCTAAACAAAACCCCAGAAACCTGCTTTCAGCCCACGGGGATCTCAGTACTGGAGTTGATACAGTGTTTCGATAATAGAACCCAAACAAACCACGTACCTGGTTTCAGCAGCAGAGGCCTCAGAGCTGGAGCCAGGCTAAAGCTGGCCCAGAATTAAAAAAAAAAAGAAAAAGGGAGGAGTAGTTGGGAGCTTCAGTCACCTGCCAGCCTGAAAACAGCCCTCAGCCCCTCATCCAGGCTGGCCAGGCACCCC